CTGCTTCTCTCACTCCCTTTAAGGTAAAGATAGCTTTTTAAAAATATCTACAAGTGTGGATATTTTACTTTAATTTCCGACACTTCCTCTCTCACTCCTATCTTTCTTACTGTAAAAGATAACGTTACCTCCATCAAGGCAGCTATTCGTCACCAATGAATCTAACCAGTGTGGGTCATCATAGCCACCAACCTCCTGTTCTCATCAGACATCTACAACAACACTGTGCTGTCAATCCAATATACCCATATCATTCCACCTTGCATTGAGTGACACACACATGCGCGCGTGCGCACACACACACACACAGTGCATTTCTACTGAACTCTCTGGGGCTGTCTTTTGGTTCACTTTTGCCTCAGGGATTTTTTCCCCCTACGTTTCAAGTGATAAGACTCCCAAATCATATCAGCATTATCAGAGGATGCTCCACCGTTCCTATTGCAAGAAATGTTACTGCCTTATCAACAATGATATATATATACACAGCTGTATTTAAATTTGTTGCCAAGATTTTATGCAGTTTAAATTGCTTTCCTATTCTCAACTTGATTTCAGAGACATCTATTGACGGTAAAGGTTACAACCAAATTTGTAACTACATTAAATTATTAAGATGTCTCAAGGACGTGATAAGGCACTATATTATTATAAATCACTATATTTTCTATTTATATCCCAAGTCGTTTTGCAGCAAAATGTTATTCTCTCACAATTGTATTCCACCCACTCTCTCAAACTTGAGGAAACAAGCAAACACTGTTCCAAAGTCCCTACAGAAATGACCACCAACTGGAAGGTGAAACCAAATAGAAGTACATTCACCACCCACTCTCGTTAGATAGTATGCCACTAACTGCTGTCAGATGCAACTATACCAGAAAAGACCATTATTTCACACAGGCACTCATTTCTTGAGAAGAACAGATGTGCAATGACATACCATGTTAGCACATAAATTGGGGTAAGTTCTCTATCTCAGATGTACACGCTATGGGAGTTGCTGAGCAAAGGCAAGAATGGGTGAGAAAAGTTAAATAAGCAAACCCATGTTCCTAATATGCAGGTATCCAGTAGCTGATTCAACATCAGCATCACACTGGACAATAGCTCTTCCATTAGGAGATTCATGAGTTACTTTGAGGAAGACCTAAAGAAAAAGCAGAGTAGATCATAGATGAGAAATTGTCATTAAAAGAAATGCCGCTGCTCACTTCAAGACAGTGAAAATATTTCTACTGTGTTGAATCAATATCATGAAATGCTTACAATAATGCCCGCCTCCTTCAGCAAACCTTATCTAAGATTGACCAAAATGCCACACTGTAATCTGTATAATTTCTGCAATCCAGATACATTTACTAATAGTTATTAGGAATCTTTCTATTCCAAGGTCAACCAGACCATCATAAAGTATTCCATTTAGGCGTTTGACCGAAAAAAATAACCCGAACAATGACAAGGTAAACTCAATTAGAAAATTGGAACAGAAAGACATGCAGGGATACAACAATTACACTTGTATAACACCTTTCTTGTAGGGAGGACATCCCAAAGCGCTGGACAGCCAAGGATGTGCACACGAGCTGGGGGTTGGGATCAGGAAGGGAGTGCAGGGAGGGTAGATTTATATTTTAACCAACTCAAGCTGGTTTTAAGTTCCAGTGGACACTTCATTAGAGGAGATTTTTTGAGTGTACTAAAATTATCTGGTGCTTTAAAAATGTCAAAGAATGGTTAGAGAAATCTTTCGGGAAGTCTCTCAAATGTAATGGAAATGCACACAGACATCCAAATGGATTTAAGTCTGTCACAATAGCTGGCAATATGTTTGTTTCAATTTATAAAAGCATAAAAAGATGTAATATTCTATTGAGGGTTAGGAAATAAAACACAAAACTGCTGCTTTCAACAGAAAATAAGTTTTCAAGAAGGCAAATTTCAATTTGTTTTTGAACTACAACACGTATTCTGCCTGTCACACAGTGAGAATGAGTCCCCATAAATGTCCGAAAAGCTTTAAGACATTAAAGGCACTTCTGCCATGTTTAAAACTTTATTTTTACAATGTGCATTTCCTTCTTCAAGATTTATTACCTTACACTACCTCAGTAAAATCTTACACCACTATTTTCTGAGCATTCACTGGCCTACTTAAAAATGTGTTTCCAAAGGACACTTTTCCGACCAATTGGAAGATATTTAATTGAACAACCGACCACAGAGCAGAACGTCACAAACAGATAAAAATACGAGACACTATATGATATAATAAGGAGTGGTTAGGTGATTCGGAGATCAAACTGATGGGAGAAGTGCACTTTTAAGACACTAGTAAAGAATGAGCAAAAAACCACACAATGACTTTTGTAACTAAACTTGGCAGTGTTACTGCTTCATTGGAAGTGATCAACTCTGATGTGCTTTCTGGATCCACAATCAGTTCTTCAGCACCTGACAAGACTATTTACCAAGGCAAGTCAGTGCAAAAAAATAAAGTTATGTGATTAACAGCAAAGATTGCCATATCTAAGTTAATTTTAGAAGCTGTGTTAAAGTAGTGAGTTTAACGTAGGTAGCATAAAGCTATGAATGCTTGAATACTTTTGCTGGTCCTTACCTGCAAGAACACAACTCATTATTTGTGACATTTAACAAAATAGCATGATTTTTGAAGACTGAATATACAGTTCCAGCTGGAAGACAGTGGCTAATGAAAGAAACTCACTTATGACAGGTTGTTAAATTGTGAACGCTTGCATATTACGAACAGCAAGTCAGCAATTACATAAACTTTTTTTGTGTCTCCTCAAATTTACTGCTTTCCCCTATTAGGGAATTGATGCAATTGGTCATTAATTTCCTAACTGTTTGTGGGACATGCTGTGTACAAATTGGCTGCCATGTTCTCCTACAAATACAGTCACTACACTTTATAGCAAAAGCCCACAAAGCAATTTGAAAAGTCTTGGCGACATGAAAAGCCACTATTCTAAATATAAGGATTATTATGACTATATTAGTAATTTATATGTATGCTTCTTGAAAGCAAATAGTTGGCTTTATAACAGCTCTTCCCAACTTTCTTTGATAAAGACAATTTCAGCTTGATTCCTAACTACAGATCGCATGTTTCCCAGATCAACCAAGTGATCTAAAATCTATACCTCCTAATCGCACTGAATAATTTTATGCAAAACAACAACAATAGATTCCATTTATTGAGCGCCTTTCACGTCGGGAGGACGTCCCAAGGCGCTGTACAGTTGGGTCAGGACCCGAGCAAGGGGAAAATGGTCAGGGTGAGGGGAGGGAGGGAGCGAGGAGGGGATAGAGAGTCGAGAGGGGAGCTGAAGGCACGGTCAAAAAGTCAAGTCAGCACTTACTGCTCATTATTTGAAGCTCCCAAACTACATAGGAAGATACTATAACTTATTCTCAGCCAGTTAGAATTACTGCATTTTCTAAAAGCATAGAAACAAATAGGCACTTGCCATGTTTGAAGAAAATATGAATATGCATTTGTAAATTAGCTATTGAGGTGGCAGATTAAACGTGACTGATAGTTTCAATGAGTAATTTCAATTCAACAATGTTCAAAAGAAATTCACAGACTTGAGGAAAATCACCTGTCAAACTTAGTAGCAATCCAACTACACATCTGACATTAATGAGGCGACAACAGAGCATTTGCTGGAACACAAATGAACACCTCAACAATTGCCAGAGTACATATATTTGAGGAATGACAAATGTACTGATACTCCATTCCAGTTGCAGAGGTAATCAGTAAGATATTATTTACTTGTGGACAGAGTCACAATATTCGTCCAGTCAAAATGAAGATATACATAATTTTTGCATTTGATATAGCATGTTATTTATAATGTCAAAACATTTCAAATCGCTTCATATTAAACGTGTCATGTTTATTGACAATCTGGAGGTAAATTTAGCAGACAATTTGTACACAGATAGTTATCAAACAGCCATGGCATAAATTACCTATTCATCAAGAGAAATTACCTGTTTGATCAATGTCACAGAATCTTTAATGTTCACCCAAGGAGAGGCCAGGACCTCGGCTTAAGCATTTCTTTCAAAGGGCAGCAACAATGTGGGGCTTGAACTCACAAACTTCTGATCCAGAGGCAAGATAGCAACCAACTAAGCCAAGCTGAGAGCACATTTTACTGCTTAAAATAGCTAAGCACTTTCAAACAGACTGCAAAATAGAAATATTCAGGGAACGCAAAAGAAGGCAATGCAAACTATACTCCAAAGGAAAAAAATCTAAATTAAAGAAGTTTTGACATGCTACTGTATCAACTACAAGTCACCAAAACCACATTCTCCCCCCCCACCCCTTACTTACCGCCAAGGGTAGTTGGAAAAAAGGGAGGACACTCACCAGTTAAACAGTTACCAGCAGAAAGCCTAACCATCCCAGCTGAAATTTGCTAACTCAGTAAACTATGGATCAAATGTACGACATTCTTGTTCTTTGTGGCTCGGCACCCATCAGGAAAGGTCAAACAGGCACTTTCAAAATAGCAGAGTTTGCACCTGTATGAGCTGCAAACTGAAGTTATTCTTTTGTTTAAAAGTACAAAATTCGAGAGAGAGAGAGAAATCTCACAAGCAAATTGGTGCAGTACTTCCTCTGTTTTTGACAGTTGCTTGAATGTTATGTAGTCTTTTGTACAATTCTTCCACGTTTCATCTGATAGCTTGTGCTTCAAAAATGGGTAATTATTCAAACTGCTATGTAGACCTCATCAGTTTAAAACGTTGATTAATCAGTTATTAAATGTCAGCAGGTCTTTGAAATACCAACAGCAGTGTGCCTCGTCAAGCCTTCCGACTTCTAAAAATATATATTGAAGCCCATCAGCCCTCCCAGGACCTCTTAAGCACAATAGACACACAGTTAACCTCTCCCTCGGGTCAAAAAAAAACATACCAGGACGTACGTAATGGAACCGATGCTTGGAATTTACCTTCATTTTCGAGTGTCCTATTTACGTGAGTGGTTCCAGCTCGAAGTTGTGTTCACTGCAGTGTGTGCAAAAAAAAAGAGAGAGAGAGACACCGTGAAAATATATCCCGTAAAAAANCTCAACGCAAGAGAGAACTCGAAAGAAACAGTGCGGCTCAAGGAAATGTGAAAAAACGCCCCCCCCCCCCCCCCCCGCTTCCCCGCACCGCACTACTCATCTCGTGAGTGCAAACTCTACTCTCAGGCCATTTTCTTCGCATCTGCACTGGAAAAATAGGCCTGAAAAAAAAGGGGTCAATCGAGCTACAGTTGAAGCGGAGTGTGGGCTTCGAAGACGCTGGAGTTGCCCCCTTTTCCGCCCGCTCCTCCATCCTGTGTGTCACGTCGCCATTGCTCGCTCTCCTGCACCATGTCAGTCCGGCGAGAGCTCGGAGCCTGGAGTACGATTCACGGAGGTGTCCCGGCAAATCGGCCGCCTTCTCCTCCTGGACACGGATCGACAGCCAAACAACACCCTCCTCCCACTTCTCCTCCCTCCAGAGTAACAATCGTTCGTTTACCACTTTTCCCCTTTTTTTTTGCTCTCTCTCTCCTTCGCAGTTGGAGAAAACGAAGAGGTGTGAGAGAGGGGTGTGGGAGAGGGGGTGGGGGGTGGGGGGAGAGAGAGAGAGAGAGAGAGGGAGAACGGGGAAAAGGCACCATCTGGAGAGTAACTGAAAAGGGGGTCGAGGAGGCGAAAAAAAAAGTGAAGCTGAAAGACGATTTGATCGCCTGCATTGCCCGCACCTCCTCCCCCGTTCCCTCTCTCGCGCACACACACACACACATATATACACACACACACACAGACACAGACTGTAGATATAAAACACCTCTTTAAAAAAAATCAAGAGCGATGGAGGCTCTTCTGCACAAACACACGCCAAGAAAACACACACACACACATCCAAATCGCACGAGTCACCTTTTAACGTCCCAACCGTGGTGTGTGTGAGTGAGTGAGTGAGTGTGTGTGTAAAAAAAAACACGCACACACAAGCAAATCTCTTCCAAGGCTTCCCCCCCACCACCACCACCCCCGTCAACTGCAACGACGAGCCTGGGGAGTGGGGAGTGGGGAGGGAAGGGAAGGTGGGGAGAGGTGGGGGGGGGAGAGAGAGAGAGAGAGAGAGAGAGAAAAGAGAGAAATTCCTTAACAGCCGGATATTAAAGTCAGAGCCCGGTCGTCGTTCAACGCAAACCGACTGGGGTGGGTTAGAGAGGGGGGGGAAGGGAGGGAAGAGAGAGGGAGAAAAGGGGCCGCGGCGGAGGCTTCACCCCAGCCTCGACAAGGCATGGAAACACACAGACCCTCTCACCACCATGTTATATATATATATATATGTACAGATTACCTTTCTCTCCCTATATATACACACACACACACATATAATCGTAGCGAGAAAACGGAACTGAACGTTGACGCGGGTCTCCCTGTTTTGTTTTGAGGAGGGAGGGGGGAGGGAGGGAAAGCAAAAGCAAAAGAAGACGAGGAGGAGAAACCCGCGGTTTTTTTTTGTTAATATTATTTACCGTTTTCTTAATTATATACATGTATATCTATGTCTACATGTGGGTAGATAAACACACACATATATATATATTTAAAAAAAACTCACCCGCCCGCAGTCTTCGGGGACAGCGAAAAAAAAGCTTCTTCCCACTTGGAACCGGGTCCTCCCTCCTCCTTTTTTTTTCCCCCCCCCTCCCCCAGATCCGGTGGATGGGCAGCAGCGGAGGGGAAGGAAGGAAGAGAGAAGAGAGAAAAAAAAATGAGAGAAAAAAACCGAAATAACAAGCTGTTGAGCGAGAAGCCGCCGTCCTCGAGCCGCAATAGGCTGAATGTTGAGCGAGGCGGCCGCCACCGCGCGCCTATTGGTCTCGCGGTCACATAGAAACGGCTCGCGGCAGCGGCGGCTCGCGGGCCCAGGGTGCAGCGCAGCTCGTCCGGACTGCGCACGTGCAACGGTTGTCCCTCCCTCCCGCCCGCCCGCCAACGGAGCCGCTCACCCCCGGCGCGCATGCGCGCCACCGCGCCAAGCAGCTCGCTCCGGCGCCATCTTGGCGGCGGTTTTTTTTTACTCCTCTCTTCCTCCTCCTCCTCCTTATTCGTACTCGACGACGTCCCGCCGAAGGAGCGACCGCGGCTGTAGCCACGATGCGTTGGGCGGAATCCATCGGTCTTAAACCGCCGGTGAGCGGTTTGTATTTCTTTTCTGTTTTTTTTTGTTTCTCTTGCGACGCCGCGGCGCTTTATTTTCGTGTTGCTTGAGGAGGAAGGTGATTGTTATTCTAGTGGGGAGGGGGGAAAAGGGGAGAAGAGGGCCGTTTAAATGAAACAAATTAAAAAGGGTCAAAAAAAAAAGGCTGTTTCTGCGCTCCGTCATCGGGGAACGGCTGCTGTGCAATGGCGGCCTGGTGGCCGGCTCGGGTTTGTCGGTGCGTCAGCGGCTCGTTGCGTCTCCCGGAAACAGCTGCGGCTGTAAACAAGTGCGCACGCGGGCCTGCGCTGGCGGGCTCGAGGCTTGTCAGCTACGCAAAGAAGAGAGGCAGAGCCGACCTCTGCAGCGGCTGAGCTGACATCCTCCTCCGCAGGTTTCACTGACTTGGCTCAATCGGTAGAAACCCTGACCTCTGAATCTCTGAGGGTGTGGGGTTCCAGCCCCGCGTTGGGGGACTTGGAAGCGCTTTGTCTCAGGTGACATTCCAATGCCATGCGGGGAGGTGTGCTGCCTTGTCCTGAGACTGAAATGTTAAACCCAGGTCCCAGTAAGTGGATGTTGAAGATCCCGTGGCGCTATTCGAAAAGAGAAGGGAGTTTTTCCCGGTGTCCTGTCCCAACAATCCTCCAAATAAGACTGATCAATCAATGGCTGCCGTGTTTCGCCTCCAAAATTCACAGTCTATCTACTTTGTAGTATATCCTGTAAGGCGTTTTGAGACTTCTCAAAGGTGTTATAAGGGCTATACCAAATGTAAGGATTATTATCATTTAATTTGTGGTGGATTACCCCAACCATATAGGGAGGAAAGGAGGAATTCACTTGAGGTCCAGGTCTTTCCCCCCTATCCGCCCTTCTTCTCCCAAGTAAAAATGGGTCATTTACTTCATAGCTGTTTGTGAGACATTGCTGAGTGAAAATGATCACTGACAAATACACAACAACAACAACAACATTAGGACAATGTCCCAAGTCGTGAGTCACCATGCTTCACAGCAAAAAATTCCGTGAAGCACTTTGAGATGTCTGGACAAGGTGATAAGGCAAGGTGACAAAGCAATGATTATTATAAATATCTACTCTGATTTTCTTCACATTTCAGTGTTTGGGAAATTTTTGCATGCAGTTGTGCAAGGATCATAGAAATAATATTTAATGCTAAATTCTGTGCTTCAGGCTCTGAAATGTTAAGAAAGAAAATCTAAAGTTCAGTGGAACTTCTTTTCACACATGCATGCCCTCCTCAAGAAGACATTGGTAATTGGTTTTACAAAAAGAGGATGAAACTGAATACTGGTCATTGAAACGATGCTTAATAGCCACTTAAGATAGCATTAAGAAATGCACATGCTTCTAAGGAATGGATTAAGGTGTGATCATGAGGAATACAAATTTGAGGATTTCTTTTTATGAGTGATGTGGCAGTACTAAATCCTTTAGTTGAAATGTTTCTGTAGAAATGCTGATTTGGCAAAGTTATTAAAAAAACATTTATATAATAATCCTTGTATTTAATTTATAGCACCTTTCACGTCAGGAGAGCATCTCAAAATGTTTTGTAGGATTTACTGTAAAGTGCCTTGCGATGTCCTCCTGACATGAAAGGTACTATACAAATGTAATATCGTATTGTAAAGTGTAGTGACTGTCAACCAGTCATGGTCATCAAGTCTCTCCTCAGGCTCTGTTCCACTCCCCCTGGACACTGCTGTTCAAAAAAAAAACACCCTCGATCCCTCTAACCTCTCATACTACCATCCCATTTCCAACTTGCCCTTCCTTACCAAAGCTCTAGAACGCATTTTTGCAGGTCAACTTTAGTCACACCACTCCCTCTTCGAGCCCCTGCAGTCTGGTTTTCGTTCGACCCACAGCACAGAGACAGCACTTGTCAAAGTCCTCTCTATTTGTGACAAGGCCTCCTCCTGCCTCCTCGTCCTCCTAGATCTCTCTACCGTGTTTGACACAGTCGACCACGCCATTCTCCTCCATCAGCTCTTCTCCCTCATCCACCTTCATGGGACTGCACTCACATTGTCCAAGTCCTACTTAACCAACCGCCTCCACTTCACCTCGTCAAATGGTTTCTCTTCCCGCCCCACCCAGGCATCTGCGGGATACTGCAGGGCTCCATCCTTGGCCCTCTTTTCCTCATCTATATGCTCCCTCTTGGCGCTGTCATCCACAGATACAGGGTAAACTTTCACATGTATACGGATGACACACAAATCTACTGTGCCTCCTCTAGTATCGACTCCAGGTCCGCCGATGTTCTATCAGCTTGTTTGGCAAACGTCAGAGCCTGGATGAGTGCAAACTTCTGCAGCTGAATGTGCATAAGATGGAAGCCATACTCCTTGGCTCCCGTCAACATCTTCACTCCCACGGATCTGAACTCCTCAAACTCCCTGGGCTCTCCCTCAGACTCACCAAACCAGTGAGCAATCTAGGTTTCCGGTTTGATCCCCAGCTGTCCTTCTTTTCCCACATCCGTACCCTGACCAGGACCACCTTCCTCCACCTCCGCCACATTGCTCACCTCTGTCCGTACCATACCCCACCCCTTTTCAGCCAAAACCCTCTTGCATGCGTTTGTCACCTCCAGCCTGGATTACTCCAATGCACTCCACATTGGTCTCCCCAGCTCCATTATTCAAAAAATCTAGCTCATTCAGAAATTGCTGCATACATACTTACCTGGACCAAACTCTGTATCCCATCTCACGAGTTGTGGTGAGATGGGATACAGAGTTTGGTCAGGACTCTGCTGCCTGCATACTTACCCAAACTCTGTACCCCATCTCTGTATCCCATCTCACCAGATGGACCTCATCTCAACAGTTTTGGCCAGACTCCACGGCTCCCCATCACCGAACGGATCGACTTCAAGATCCTCACACTCGTGTTCAAATCCCTTCACTCCCCGCCATCTCCCTACCTCTCCGATCTCCTCACTCCCCAATCCACCACCCGGCACCTCCGCTTGACTCGCACCAGTCTCCCGCTTGTCCCTCACACCCTCCGCTCACCATTAGAGATGCATTCAGTCACTACACCCAGAAACTCTGGAACATTCTCCCTCAATCCCTCCACCTTGTCCCGTCTCTCCGATTTTTCAAGTCCTGCCTGAAAACCTTTCTTTGTGCTTACGATCACTTCCTCCCCGTCTCAGAGTCAGGCTCCACTACTGTTAAGCACTCTGAGACTCTACCCTGCGTGGAGGGTGCTATATAAATGCAAGTTGTCATTGTTGGCTGTGTGTTGTGGACAAAAGTGGCAGCCAGTTTGTACACTGCAATGTTCTATAAGTGGTTGTGAAGTGACTGACCAATTTTATCTGAGGGATTGTTGGGCAGTGTGATGGAAGGAACTTCCTCTTTTCAAGATACCATGGGATCTTTAATGTTTGTTTGAAAAATCAGATAGGACCTCAGTTTAACATTTCATCCAAAGGATGACACCTCCAATAATGCAGCATCCCTTAGCCATAGACTATCTAAGTTTGAATTCCTGACATGGGGTTTGTACCCGCAACCTTCTGTCTCAGTGGTGAGAATGCAAGCAACTGAGACAGGCTGACACCTTTTGTAGACTTGTAAACTTTATTTGATACTATTAGGTGCAACTTTGATATTTTTCAAATTGGTGGCTTGTTACATTTACTTTGTCTCTAATTTTTCGTTGGATAGAAGGGGATTACTGGTTTAATTTCATGTGTGACTTATATTAATCTATGTATAAAAAATAAAACTAACCTTTTTGTATTTCAATTTTATCAAGGTAATGGGGAAAGTAGCATTTTTCAATTTTACACCAGTAGGAACACCACACATTGAATCAGGTAAGGGTTGACTCTAATGTTTCTTGTATACTATTTTGTCATTAGTAATACATCTTTGGCACTGGTTCAAAACCAATGGCAGAACTGTTAATCGCATTTACAGATCAAAAATATTTGAATATTCTGTTCAATCATAACAATTATGTCACTAATGGTAAAATACTCTATATGTTAAGCTGCTTCAACCTGCACTTCACCCCCTCCTGCTCCATCTCCTCGGACTTCTCCTCCTTCCTCTCCTCGCTAAACCTCTCCTTCCACATCAACTCTGCCACTCACATTCACGGCCACCCACTCGATTTGGTGATCACCCGGGGCCTCAGTGTCTCGGATGTCACCATTATCGACAAGGCCGTCTCTGATCACCACTTTATCTCCTTCACCACGTCCACCCCCCTCCCGACCTCCACCAGACCCACCACCATCTTCTACCGCCCCTGGAAGAAGTTACCCCCATAATCCCTAACCGCTGCCTTGGAGTCCTCTGAACTCCTCTCCCTCTGGCCTTCATCCCTCACTGACCCCTCTTCTGCTCTCAGGTGCGGGCCGCTGAACACACCTGCCTCAAATCTGGCCTAACGGTCCACTGGCAAATCTGGCTGGACCTCCTCAAAATCTACCGCTCCACTCTAGCCTCGGCCAAGTCATCCTTCTACTCCAGGATAATCCTGGAGGCGAAGAACAACCCCAGGCTTCTGTTCTCCACCACATCCCGACTCCTCCGTCCACCCCGCGCAGGTCAACCTTCAACCTTCACTGCGAGGAGATGCTGGATTTCCTTGAATCCAAAATCAAGGGAATCCTCTCCGCGGTCACTACCTCTCCAACTTCCACCCACCCCCCACCCCTTCCCTCCCACACTCCGACTCCTACCCATCCTCCCCTACACACCTTCGAACCCGTTTCCCCACTCTCTGTCACCAAACTCATCCTGTCCTTGAAACCCACCACCTGCTCCCTGGACCCCATCCCCACTCCACTCCTTATCTCCCAGCTCCACCTCCTTGCCCCACTTCTCACAGACACTATTAATCTGTCCCTCTCCTTTGACTCTGTGCCCATTCCCCTCAAAACTGCCACCATCACTCCCACATTGAAAAAACCCTCCCTTGATGCGTTGCAGCTATCAAGCTACCGGCCCATCTCCAACCTCCCCTTCCTGTCCAAGGTTCTCTAAAGAGTCCTCGCCTCCCAGCTGCGCTCTTTCCTCTCCACCCACTCACTTTTCGAACCTCTCCAGTCGGGTTTCCGTGCTGCCCATAGCACGGAAACTGCCCTGGTCAAGGTCACCAATGACATCTTGACCATCTGCGACCAGGGCTCCTTCTGCCTCCTCGTCCTCCTTGACCTATCGGTCGCATTCGATACGGTCGACCACTCTATCCTCCTCCACCGCTTATCCTCCCACCTCAACCTTCAAGGCCCTGTCCTTGAGTGGTTTAGGTCCTACCTCTCTCACCGTCTTCATTTTGTCTCTGCAAACGGCTTTTCCTCGAGCCTCCGCACTATCTCATGCGGTGTCCCTCAGGGCTCTGTCCTCGGTCCCCTCCTCTTCACCCTCTATATGCTCCCCCTTGGTGACATCATGCACAGACATGGGGTTAACTTCCACATGTATGCGGATGACACCCAACTCTACCTTTCCTCTTCTACCCTCAACTCCACGACCACCGATGTCCTGACAGCCTGCCTGTCTGACATCGAGTCCTGGATGAGAGACAACTTTCTTCAGCTCAATGTGCGCAAAACTGAGGCCTTCCTGATTGGCTCCGCACCTCAGGCGCTGACACCATCAGCATCCAAGGCTGCACTCTCCACCTCTCAAAGCCAGTCAGGAAACTGTTCTGTTCGACCCTGAGCTGTCCTTTCTTCCCCACATCCACGCCACAGCTGGCACTGCCTTCTACCACCTCCGGAACATTGCCAGACTACGGCACTATCTCACCCCTCACGCCGCTGAAACACTGGTCCATGCCTTCATCACCTCAAGGCTGGACCACGGGAACTCTCTCCTAGTCGGCCTTCCCGGCACCTCACTCCACAAGCTGCAGGTCATTCAGAACTCTGCAGCTTGTGTACTGTCCCGTACCAGGCTTCGCGACCACATCACTCCCACCCTCACTCGCCTCCACTGGCTCCCCATCCCCAGAGAATCGAATTCAAGATCCTCATCCTCACCTACAAGGCCATTCACGGCCTTGCACCCTCCTACCTCTCCGACCTACTATCCCCCACGTACCTGCCCGTACCCTCCATTCCTCTGGCTCCGGTCTGCTCCACATCCCCCGCCCTAACCGCCCTACCATCAGTGGCCGGGCTTTCAGCCTCTCAGCCCCTAGGCTCTGGAACTCCATCCCCCAGTGCCTTCGCCTTGCCTCCTCCCTTTCCTCCTTCAAGGCCGGTCTCAAGACCTTTCTCTTCAACCGTGTCTTCAACTCCCCTCTCTACCCCCTCCTCGCTCCCTCCCTTCCCTCCCCTCCCCGCTCCCTCCCCCTGACCATTCCCCCCCTGTTCGGGTCCAGACCCAACTGTCCAACGCCTTGGGACATCCTCTCGATGTGTTGTTGTTGTTAACAGTACAGATACAGAGCTCTGGCTTTGCTCATTGAACAGCGATTCATGTTTTGTAGTGTTGACTGAGATATCAGTGCTAAAAGAAGAGTTGATTTGGGCTAATTACTGTAGTATAAAAATTTCTTGATGTGGTAAATTCTCACATAACGCCTTTAAGCAGATAATAGGACTTTTGTGTTAGAAACAGCATTGTAGATTATAATTAGGATAAACTGGGACTAGTTTCAGTAGAATAAAGAAGGTTGAAAAGGAATCTAATAGTGGTCTTCAAATGTTTTTAGAGGATTAATAGTAAAAGATTATTTGCACTGTGTTGGTAAATCGGTAACTAAAGGGCATAAGTGCATGATTATTACCCGAAGAGTTAAGGGTGAGATCAGAAGTTTCATGTGGATAGTTTGCTACCTGTACTTTGCTTTTGCCTAGAGAAACTTTCATGTGCATGTTGATAGACGTTACGTGCATATGCCTACCAGTATAATATAAGAAATGGTAATTGCAACTATTATTTGTCAAACCAGTGGTACTTACTGCATATCAGTGCCATTTATTTTTAGTTTTGCTGTCCATTGATTCTTCAGACTTAATTAAGATCTTGAATCTGTATGTATTCTTAGAGAGCGCTTATCAACCTGAAATAACATATTGGTATTTTGCCTATGCTGATAACATAGCGCAAAATGATGAAATCAACTCAAAATAACATTTGCAGTGTTTCTTTTCATCTGGATGAAATGGTCCAAAAAATGAATGCCATTCAGCAACATTCCTGCCTGGACATTCCCACTGTTTACATCAAGCATTAAAATGTATTGATTGGCCCAGTAACTAAGTTGCTGCATATAATAACAGATTAAATGCAGGTTTAACATTATTAGACAAAACTATGGGTATTTTCAGTGATACAGAGTTCAAGCTGTAGTTGTGCAAGCCAAACTTATTCTTTCTTTTGTAATTTCAGCCATCTTTCAGAATCCTTGATAGTGGACTATAATGCACTTAAAACTGCATTTTGTTTTTATTTATTTTGTGCAACACTGTGTGTTAGACTTCTGAAGAAGAATATTATCCTATTGCATCAATTTTAGATAGGTAGCTGATCTCTAACAATCAAAACCAAGATTAAATTGATTGTGGAACATTTCAGTACTAAAGAAGTGAACCTGACAAAATTAGAGCCTCTCTTTTGGATGAGTAACTGAATATCTCTATAGATGCAGCTTTGTGTGTATCCTGAGGAAGCTAGCAGTTCCCATTGTAAGTCGTCTTTTTTTCCTTTCCTGACCTCTGTCTGAATATCTGAGCGAAGATGAGACAATATAATAACTTAATTCAGAGTCCCTTAATGTTCACTCAGTCATGCAGATTGTTCACTTGCAATCTGCATAACTTCAATTCATGTAATCCAATCCTTGAATTTGCAGGATTAGCCTTTTATACATCTCAGATGGATAATGTGCCAAGACTTTGTTTTATCCTGAATCAATTAGGATGACTATTTTCTATGAAATCTGAAAGCAACTTGTGCTTATATAGTACCTTTCATTTAGGGAAAATTTCTCAAAATGCTTTACAAAGACTAAGTGGGAGCCTGAGAAAGCAGGGAATGGGGGACGGGTGCTGTAGGCACAGACAGTGATGAATCTTTAGATGAGTTTTGAAATTGAGAGGGAAGGGGGAACCTGAAGGGATATTGGAAAAGCATTTAAGGGTGTAGACACAGTAGCTGAAAAACCGTCCGCCTGCCAATGTTGGGGTGGATTGGTCGAGGCGTAGGATCTCAAGAGAGTGCAGGGTTAGAGTGGGGCAAGTCCACGGAAGGATTTGAACATAAAGACTGGGTTTTTGACTGCCGTCTTTTCAAAAGTGTATTTGCTTTTGATAATACTGAACTGAGTGAATTTAATACAGATTAATATTAACATTATTATTGCTAAGAGGCTGATTTGAGAATTACTAGATTGTGTTACCTTAGTCTTGGTGATCTTAACTTTTCGCTGCATTTTAAAATAAATGAATGTTTTCATGTTTAATTAAGAATTGTGCTGCTGGCTCAAGTCAATTGATTCCAGTTTTGTGTCAAATTTCAAGACTATCCAGACTGAGCTAATCAAAATGTTAATGGCTTGCAAATAATGTATACGGCATTGATGCGCAGGCTGAGCTGACACGTGGCTCAGCTGTTTGTGGGTGCTGGTGATGCTGAGAGCAGCCGGAAAGTACGATAGCACCAGCAGGTGCACAGCACCCATGTAATTCAAGCCAGGGGAGCTGCTGCACCCCCAACAGCCCTTGTTCTTACATCTATGTTGACAACTCAATGTTTCCACCGGAGGCAGTGTTCAAAATAAAATGTTCAAAATAAAAAGTTTAAACTCAGATTTGTACCTCAACCAAAGTTTTCAGTGTTGTTTCAAGTGTGTGTT